TCAAAATCAGAGGTAAAAAACGTTTGCTGTTATATGTTTGAAAAGCATATTATATCTTAACTTAATCATCTAGAAGTAGAGATTACCAATTACCTCGCGGCATAGTCTGGCATGATAATATTTTACACAGAGTAAAGGACGTAAAGTTGATAATAGGAAGCATAATGTTTGACGAAAAATAAAAAGACATAATGTCTAGCCAGACAAATCTAGCCAATAGGACAAAGTGCTTGACCATATAAACTGATGAACGAAATAATCACCCTGTCTAATAATAGAAGAGGAAGCATTGATCAGTTCAGGTGGTCATGGAGATATCCTAATCGACCAGCTCTTGCTAGTACACAGTCCTAGATAAGCAGGACTCAGCCACAACCATATCCATTGTAAAGAAGTGAATTCCAATGAATTTTAAGATAGGAAAGACAAAGGCCATTAAGCTTTTTCAATGACAAAATTATCATTTTGGCTATATAGAATATATGATGAGGATGATGCCAGCCTAAGTCAATGCAGATATTCAGGGAGAAGATATAAAGAACAAGCTTAAGCCACAGAGTGAATTTCTGTAAAATCTCTAGTAGGTACAAGGATAAGTAGAAAAACGAGGCTATATTTTTAATAAAAGGAGTTCATCTAGGTAACATGCCTTGATGCCTTGGAAAGTATTCTCAGAAGGGTCGTCTGAAGACTCTGAATCATTATCATTTTTGTCTTCTTTATCATCATCCCCATCATAGTCGTCTTCCACTTCGCTGCTCTTGGACTCGAAAGCTGTATGTGCTTGCCGTCGCCTCCTACAGGTCTGAGATTCTCCAGTAATGTCTTGGCCAGCAACACCATCTGAAGCGAAACTATTGAGTGGTATCGCTGCGCGGTTGCGACGAGAAACTGTTTGGTCGTTAGACCATACGTTGTCCGGTCGGATCGAATAGCCTTCAGCATCTATTGGTTGCTCTGTCGGCGTAGCAGTGCGCCAGTCAGAGCCTGATTGCCCAGAAATTTGGATAGCGGTCATGTCTCGGTCTAGTCAGGAAAAGGGGTGAAGGGGAGAAATGATAATATGGAATAAGATGGGAGAAGATTAAAAATATAGTAGAGTCAAGTAGCTGATGGGATAAAGTAAGGAGAGCTAGCGAGTAGAGCATGATTTCTCACTTCGAAAATTAAGTAGCGAGGCTAGATATGTTTAATCATATAATCAGAGGAAGAATGGAAGAAATACAGCGCATTGGATATGCTGTGATGAGACGAGATCTTTTTGGATAGGATGAAGATTAATTTAAGACATTTTAACTTCACCAAAACCGCATTATAGTCGGAAAATTAATATATATCGTAAAAGTTTTCATTGCTTCGTCAGCATACCGATCAAAAACAAGAATTGCGATCGGTGTAAGAGAATAAATAAAATATTTATAGTCTTGCAGGATACAAATTGTTCAAAACACACATCTGACTTGATAATTCTAGAGAGAAAGCTATTATAAACAAGTAACCAGAAACTTTACACGAGTAAGGACGGAGAATCTGGACAAATTCCCCATCAACTGTTCAACTGGTATAAGTAATTTAGAAACTAATTTTCCTCATCTTCTGAAACTCGTCAGTAGCTCAACTGAAATTCGCTTGAAAAGAGAAAAGAGAGAGCCACAACCTATCAGTTAACCGCATAAATTTCATATAGACCAGATGTACTTGTAGAAGTAGTTTAACCTTCATTTCACAGTTTCGACGCGTTGTCAGGATTTAGACGAACAAGCAGTCCGACACTGGGAATTATAACAACTATTATTCAGAGGAGCATCCAGCTAAGTCGCGACAAAATTGCGAAAACGAGGTCGAACCATTTCTATACAGTGAAAGAAGACAGTGACCAAAACACTTTGGTCTTTGTATCTATGTGTACTATGCCTAGAGTGATAATGGACTAAGAATCAATGCCAACCTAGACAAGAGTAATCAACCATCTCCTGATTAGATCCTAAAGGTGTTGCTAGCCGATATGTTAGAGAGTCCTAGGGTATGCTATGTACAACTTCAATAATAATCGAGTCCCTATTGCGTGTGAGAGGTTCTATATAGTTGAAGGAGCCACTTAATGATTGACGCATATCCTACAGCGGTGTTGAGTAGGGGGGTAACATTGATGTGAAATTCGCACTTGATAAAAATCCCGCACAAAGTATTCGTCTCTTAACCAGCCTATTAGACTGAGCACAGTGAAAACTGCTTATCGAATTAAAATTAGGTCAGAAGATAGGACCAAATGGATTCTACGAAATAAATAATGGGAAAAAAAGTTATTTAAGACCAGAGGTGCATGATTTAGGGTAATTAATAAAAAAAACAGTTCCAACAGCACAAATTTGATAAATGTTCCAAGAAGATATGATACACGAAAAGGAAATAAGGAAGATTTGCGTTCCTGAGCTTCGCAGAAGATCAGACTAGGGACAACTTTAGAAGTTTACTGGTGACTTGTCGAGTAATAGCTTACTTAAAAGCCATAAAGGTCAAGACTAAATTGCGCAATCCTAGTGGCCAACAATTACACATTGAGCTTCATT